TTTGTATTGCTGCCATCAAATCTGCTAGGCTGTAGTCTGATTTGCCGCTTCTCGTTTCCTTTTTTTTTCTCTCTATTTTTTTTCTATCCCACTTCTGACCCCAATTTGTTACGTCTCCGTTTGTTAATTGATTTTTCCGTAACTTCGTTCCAACTGAAATTTTAACGACACAAGTCTTTACTTAATAAAACTGGTTTATTCTTTCCGAATATAACTGTGCGATACACTCAACAATCGCGCTAAACAAACGCTATAACGAACGAACGTTAGCTTCAACAATACCGTGTGACTGCAGTTCAATTACTCACTATCTATCTACATATTACATTCCCATCTTTTATATACCAGCGTACCCTACTAGTAAATACTAGAACATTCCCGAAAGAACAAGATAGTTCTAGAAACTAGAGGGCGCCACAGTGGTCACGTGACTCGCTGACGCAACAGTATCCTATATAATATGGAGTATCCACCTTTATTTTTGACAGGAGAAACTTTTTCACTGTCCCATCAACTAGCACATACAGGGATACATTTCCTGTCATCTGGTTATCAGATATTAGACTGGTTCACACAACTGCATTACTGCACCCAGTGTCTCATAGGACCTTCACTTTATTGTCCTCAACATAGCTTTTTTCACCTATAGGCATATTGTAATTTGTTGGCATCTCTCGATATTTGTAATATGCTCAGATAAATACTAGCACTGTTAATCCATTTGCAAACTTCAGCTGACCATTAGTCATACACTGATCAATCATGAAAATGGCACTTCCTTCTTCTGGTGAATCTTATATGTTTTCTTGATTCTGTTTCTTCTGGCAGCAGCATCCATGGCGACATTCTTATTTTCTTATTTCTCTTTTTTTACTTCTTACCAGCACTGTCTTTGTAAATAGCTACATCTGGTTTCTGGTGAGATTTCTGCTGTTGCTTGTAGGTGACAAACTTGTACTCACTTGCAATGTGCCCCATTTTATAACAAACATAGCATTTCTTCTCC